TGAAACACTCTGTGTCCCTTTTTTGGACCCTCACCCACAGTTTAAGAACCTCTTCTTTAAGAGAACTTCCTCTGGCACTTTACACAAAACTGTGAAAAATTGAAGGAAGATTTTTAAACCTGTTTTTTAAAGTTCCAAACTGGAGTTGCGTTCTTTTCTGGTTTTGCAGTGATATTTACCAGCCTCTGCACGTTTACCAAACCAAACGCACATCGTGACAAACACAGATGCATTTGTGCACTTTTGTGAGGCAAACTTCAGCCAAATGTGGCAGTAGGTCTGTTCTGTAGATCTGCTCTATGCTGTAGACCTGCTTTGTGCCAACACTGGAACACAAATTTAGACTAATTTTTGCTTCACGTTTCGTCTTGCTCTTCTAATCAGCGCGCACTGTGGGAGGGGCTTGTGTTCGCTGTACGCAGGAAGGAGCGAGAGCGTGAAAAGGCGAGGGGCGGCGTGCTGACGTGAGGCAGATGGACAGGTAGGATGTTTAGGAAGTTTAACCTGCCCTGTGATGCACGCTGGGACACGAGGGCACACGCTGTTGCAGACGAGCCGTGCATAGGGAGCGTGTGTATTTGTGATGTGCCGTAGAGTCTCTGCGGGTTTCAAATGGGCGCACAGGCTGCACTTAGACGCCCCACACGCTCCTGCACCCCGCTACAAGTTTATTGCCAACAGCAGTAACAGCCGTAATGTAATATGATTGCACTTGTTGAGTGTCAGACCTTGAGTGAGAGACAAGACCGAGTCCAAACGCGAGTCCGAGACGAGACACGGCGATCTACCCACACGACCTTGGCGATCGACTGGTTGATCGCGATCGACGTATTGAGCACCCCTGGTCTAAATAATATAATAAAGCTGTACACAATGTAACTATGTATGTCCATGGAGATGTTATTGCTCCCCTCCATGTTCCACAGTATCGCAATTAACTTGTTCATCTTGCATTTTTTCAATTACAGCAATTTTTGTTGCTCAAAATATGCTTGGCCTGGTGACGTCAGTTGCATGAATAGTTAGATAAGTTTATTGTCATGCTTTGGAACGTTCCAGGCAATGCAATATCATCTCCCTGGAGAAAAGAAAGTGACAGATCCTCCATCAGAAAAGTTACATAATACATAGTCCTTTAAAATAGTTAATGCAATATATACTATGCATGTTTGACTTTGTGTTCCCGCCCAGTGTGATAATGACCCATGCTGTTGTCTGTAGGACTTTTTAAATAGGAAAACCCAAGACAACTAGGGACATGCTAAAAATCCTGTTAAAATTCTGGGCACTTTTTTGTCAATATTATGATATGTCAGTCAGATCAACTCATATAAGCTGCTTGCACACTATTTAGGGCACATTTTATTCATATTCATACATTTTAAAGGTCAAATATTACACGAAAATTTAGATTTTAGTCATGTTATAATGTTGTAACCTCATCAAAAACATACCAGAAGCTGTGTTGTGTAACATTCACACATGCATAAGCTAAAACCTTTATTAGTAGTGGTTCCACATTGTGATGTCATTTAATGCCAAGGCTGAAATTATCCCAATGATTCTAGTGAAGGTGTATGGAGACAAAAAAGAAAACAAACTGTGGAGCACTTCCTGTATTTCCACGTGACATCGCAAGACGGAACATAAGAGTTTTCAGTGTGAGAGAAAAACTCATCCTAACAACCAATAGTAAATGAGGTAGTCTCGTTATCTATTGGCTGATGTTTATCTGGCCTCCCTATGTCCACCGTTGATAGATTTTCATTTTTTTTTTTTTTTTTTTGGTCATCATAATTACAAGGCTGCTGCATCTCTGTAATGGTATTTTAGTCTTTCACTGACAATTTGAAACAAAAAAAAATCCTCCATACAACCTTTAACTTAGGGCAGGGGTATCCAAACTTTTTTCATCAAGGGCCACATAACTAAACAAAGACAAAGCAGAGAGCCGATCGAGGGCTGTAGACTGGTGCTCAATACAGTGAATAATTGAAATATGTGCATGTTTAACATGTTAGAATGAGCCATCAGTCTTTATTCATGCTAAAATCCTTAAAACCACACACTAAACACTAAATAGGGCCAAGAAACATTTGTCTGAGGGCCACAATTTACCTACGGGCCATAGTTTGGACATGCCTGTTTTAGGGTGACCAGACGTCCCTATCTACCCGGGACAGCCCCAGTTTTGAGCCCTGTGTCCCCTGTCCCAGCAGATTCATCCAAACCAGTGATTTGTCCTAGCTTTAAACAAGAAATGTCCTTATATTTTGGACAAATTTGATACCTGCCACCAGTATAAAGAGGCACAAATTGTCAGTTTAGGTAAAATACAGAAAAGGATGCTTAAAAATAAAAACGTGACTATACTGACTCACATGTTAGTTATGAATGGACTGAGTGCATAACAATTTTCATTAACTACGCACTAGTTTCACATTTTTATTATTACCAACCACCCCAAATCGAGGATGTCCCAGTTTTTGATTTTGAAACTACTTTAACTGTACTTATAACCAGTGTTGGGAAGGTGACTTTTAAAATGTATTCCCCTACAGATTACAGATTACATACCTCAAAATGTAGTTTGTAACGTAATCCATTAAATTACTTAAAGTGAGTAACGTAATCTGAATACTTTGGATTACTTGATTTGCTGTAGAGAAACAAAGACCAGGATATCTTCACTTCAGATGTTTTGTCTGCTAAAAGACAATGAAAAGCCCAAACTTTACTGAACCACATTAAAAATATTATTGATAGAAGAGGAGGAGACACGTCCACACAGCATGGTTTACTCCTGTTAAATCCTGTTTTAGTCCTGGTTTAGTCCTGCTTTAGACCTGTTTTTTAGACCTGGTTTATACTTGTTTTAGTCCTGGTTTAGACCTGGTTTATACTTGTTTTAGTCCTGGTTTAGACCTGGTTTAGATCTGGTTTAGATCTAGTTTAGATCTCGTTTAGGCCTGATTTATTCCTGTTTTAGTCCTGGTTTAGACCTGGTTTTGATCTAGTTTAGGCCTGGTTTAGTCCTGGTTTAGACTTGTTTTAGTCCTGTTTTAGTCCTGGTTTAGACCTGGTTTTAGTCCTGGTTTAGTCCTGGTTCAGATCTGGTTTAGATCTAGTTTAGATCTCGTTTAGGTCTGGTTCAGTCCTGTTTTAGTCCTGGTTTAGACGTGGTTTTAGACCTGTTTTAGATCTAGTTTAGACCTGGTTTTAATCCTGGTTTAGTCCTGGTTTAGATCTAGTTTAGGCCTGGTTTAGACTTGTTTTAGTCCTGTTTTAGTCCTGGTTTTAGACCTGTTTTAGATCTAGTTTAGAGCTAGAGTTTATAGTTCAAAATGTGAAAACAGGAAAATACCGCTGTGTAATCCATTTATTTCAACAAAGTAACTGTAATCTAATTACCACTCATGGAAACAGTAACTGTAACTGAATTACTCATAATTTGTACTCTGATTACATAACTTTGGTACATGTAATCCGTTACTTCCCAACACTGCTTATAACTGGGACCTCTAGTCACCACAGGTATCTCCTATTCAACATTTTCACTGTGTACATCTGCACAGAGTTGCATTAGCTCCAGTGATGAGCAGGCAGTAACAGCAGTGTAAAGTGTCCTGTAATCAAAGACCCGCTCCTGGACGTGTTTTAGGGCACAGGGTTTTACTGCAGGGCGCACTGCCAATGCCCCGGGTTCATTTTTCATCAGCTTCAAAACAACTCCGCCAGCTCCACTTGACTGGACTTTATTAGAGAAAATAGTTCAGTGACATTGTTTGAGAGCTGTGTTGTGGATATTGATTACTAGGTCAGGGCACACGTCGTTTTTTCACGTAGTCAGCTAATATCTCACTCCGCTGTAAAGTCACTCATCAAACCACGCTGTAATAAACACGTACCTGCGCAAGAAGAGCGCACGAAGCGACGGTGCTGCCTGCGTGCCTCTACAGGGTCATTTACGCACACTGTTTGTCGTATATGTCAGGATTTTGTACAGTTATATTATTTTTGTTGTTGGCTAACGGTGAATCTTTGGAAAAACACAAGCTTCCACACAGCGTGACCAGATTTTCAAAATAAAAAACTGAAACGAGTGCGTAATTAAGTAATATTGTTCTGCACTCGGCACTAATGTGAGTCAGTATAGTCATATTTTTTGTGTTTTGGTCATTTTTAAGCGTGCTTTTCTACTTTTTACCTAAACAAATTGCAATTTATATCTCTTTACTATTGGCAGGGATCAGATTGGTCAAAAATAGGGACACGTGGGACATTTCTTGTATAAAACTGGGACAAATCACTGGTTTTGGATAAATCTGCTGGGACACAAGGCTCAAAACTGGGACTGTCTCGGGTAAATAAGGACGTCTAGTCACTCTGCTTGTGCGGTATACTTCATCGGGAAAAGCAGATTGAGCAACAGCTGTTTAGGGACACACTACACCGCCCTCTAGTGGTACATGTGGATAGAACCTGAACAGCAGAGGGTGAAAAAATAATGAAATAGTGTTGAGAATTGGGGTAAAATTCAAAAAAACAGAAACAGAAAACAGTTTTGCTATTTATTTAATTGTTCTTAGTGTGTGTGTTATTTTTCATTGTGTAAATTGGGGTTATGTGTCTGTTTGTGTCCTCACTGCCTTTTAATTGAACTGTTACGCACAATTGCACTTTTTTGTATAATTCTTATTGTTGTGTTTTTAGGGTGACCATGTTTACCATCTGTCCAGGGACTACAGGTGAAAAATAGTTTCTCTGGCTAGTTCTGGTACATTTACAGAAATGTTGATTAATGTACACTGTCCCTGATATATAAACCAAATAAATAAATAAATAAAAACTTGATGAAGCTTAATGAACTTGAAACTGTGTAGTTTAATGCAAAGATCATAACAGTGTTTAATTTGTTGGCCTATATTAAGTTTCTGGTGAGGTTGCCCATAAAAAGACATAATAAAAGGTAGGTTTAATTTAACACAAAAACACAAATGGACACTGTATTTATTTATTACAGATGAGGTGAGGCTGTACAAAGAGCTTGATGTTGTCAAACACATTTCAAGGCCAGGAGAGATTTTTCAATTCATTAGTTCTGTCAAATATTTTCAAAGTTTTATTATTTAAAATAGAAAAAGTTAAAAAAAAAATTTAAAAAAAAAAGTATTTGAGACTCCTACATGTGCTGAGTGAGCGGACAGTCACAAGGTTGGGGGGATCGCAGGCTCCCAGCAGTGGTTTTATCTGGCTGCAACTGCAACAGAAAAACAAGAGAGGGCGCTCATGAGTTTTTAATCATTCATTAGAGTCAATTCAGTAAGTTCAGGCTGATTATTGAACAAACAGGGCAAGATCACATGTTTCTGTCCATGAAACTGCTATTTCTCTGGTTTTGCACCATAGTAGGACATTACATTTAATCTATCTTGCTTTTATTCATTTCAGTTCTCTGTTACTGGGTTCGCCTTCCCACAGATCTGACTTCAAAATAGCCTTTAGTGAAGTCAGTCACCTGCTTGTCTTCATGGAGAAGCAGAGAAATAAACAAAGCAAAGCGATAACATCTCCATGGAACTAAAGTTAAACTATGCACCTTTAAAAAAAAAAAACTGTAAAGACGTGTTTGCTTTTTAAATCTCCTTGCCAAGAAAACCTTATTTTTTCCGCATTTATCTAAAGTTGACCATCAATTTAGAATGACTTCCTATGTCCGAGACTAAAGACGAAACAACCTGTGTCTTTCCCAGCAAGCAGCTCAGTCAATAAATAAATAAATACAATTCTCCATACTTTATGACAGCATAAACCTTGGTCTTCCGCACTGAAATTCCTCCAGCATGATGCCGTTTCCTTCTGAGCTTGACCATATAGAGGAAGACAGGTCATCCTCTTGTATATATGTCTAAGAGGTGAGCGAGTGCATTGTGTAGAAAGCGTATATTCAGGTACACGATGCATTTTCAACTCAACAACAGCTTTATTATACTTAACTACCGCAGTACGGACCTGAATGACATTTACTGGTTGTACAATACGGAGCGTTCACAATAATCGGTGTTTATGTTAGGAAGTCCTATCTCTCACATTGGCCGGCTGGTTCGAGGGCAGGCTCCACTCAATCACAGGAAACACCTTCAGATACACAGCAGCAGCACAATGAGATTAAAAGCCCACTCACTCCTCTGGAATAATTGGCAAGACGTGTCATGAATGCCCTGAATGCCAAAACAGGAGTTATTTGGCAGGAAAAAACAGAAGCCAGTGATTCAGTACCTCCATTCGAAAGTAATTGAAAGGTACTGAACTGATTCCAGCTACCAGCAAAGTGAAATGTTGTTGCGTCCATGGGCAAAAACGTGAAGCTGCACTGCGCAACTTTTCTGGTGAAGGGTCCGTCACCTGCTTGTCTCCGTGGAAATGTTATCGCTTTGTGTAGAATATCTATGCCTATGTCAAGATCTGTGGAGAGGCGAACCTATTCACAGAGAGAATTATTGTATTTTTAAGCAACAGAAATGCCCGTAATGAATAAACGCTAGATAGATATGTTTAAAGTCATACCATGGAACATTCCAGGCTAATTTATAACGTCTCCATTATAGCTATGTATCATTAAGAAGTTGCCGATACAATACATTCCTCGATATATAGGTCACAATACGATACAAACCTCGATACAGTGCACATTTGATACGATATATTTCAAAACGATTGGCTACGGTTCAATAAAAAATAAAGGTTAAATCATGGCTGTGATACTAAAGTCTTTGTTAAACCACTTCTTGTGCAAAGTTCATATTAAACACAAACATTTTAATTCTCAAAACCGTGAAAACAAGTTTTCTTCCTCTAAATAAGCAACAAAACTGTAGAGCGGTAACAAAATCATTTAGTAAAATTTACCAAAAAATACTCTTGGTGATGTATCGATACAGCAGCCCACGATATCAATACTGTATCATCACATTTAACTGTACGATACATTGATATTTTGATATTTTTGCACTCCCCTGATCTCCATGGAGACAAGCAGGTGACAGAAAAGTTGCACCTTTAACATGCTTGTCAGATCCTAATCAATCTAAAACTAGTAATGAAACTAGATACTCATTTGAGCAGGTATTGATACTAAAAAAGTCACATTCACAGGACAGACAGGAACCTTTCCTGAATAATTTTAGAATGATCTTGAGTATAAGTATAAGTATAAATATAAATATAAAAGCACAAAGACTAGTATACACTCATGGACCACTATGGAACATACATGAAACACTGAGGGATTACACAGATATAACACCATATGGTAATATAAAAGAAAGTACTATGATTTAATGTTGAAAATGTTGGAGCGCTGGAATATAGAACTATTATACTACCACAGGAAATTGAGGAAGGAACCAATAATACACAGCCTGAGCAATAAAAGGACATCATGTAGTTTTAAAGCCCCTGTGTGATATATTTCAACCAAAAATAGAGACAAAAAATGAAAACACTAACTTTTTTATGCGTGTTTATAGATATTATTGCTTTGCCTGGAATGTTCCTAGCCTGATTCATCAGCCGGTTTCACGTTGTAGAAACCGTCTGACCTCACAGCATTAGGATTCATTCGCTCAACAGTAGACGGCTACTTTTTTTTTATTTAACCAATCGCTGCTATTTGGTCGTGACATATGTAATGCGCCTCTAACGGGGCTAACTGGTATATTAAGCTTTTCCCAAATCCCATAGGAAGAAGGACAATAACGTCTTTCCCCTTGATAAAATTCACCAAACATTCTCTTTGTTCAGGCTTTAAATCCTCGATCTCAGGAATCGTTGCCAACACACAATGTATGGCTCTTTGTTGATTGACTGGTGCCCGAACTCGCACTTCCGGGGTTTTTGCGAACCGTCTAGTGTATTTTGATTCCTGACCTAGTCACTGGAGAGAAATGAAATTGAGCGGAGGCACTACGCGGCACCAGTTTGGCTAAAATGTTCCACTGTATGGCATGAAATGTATCATCACCCAAAATATGGCTTTAACTTAATATCTCCATGAATTGTAAGATGCGTGCCAGTGCTCACCACCAAATGTTACACAGAGGGGGTTTAACTACAATAATTTCTGAATTAATAATACTTGAATATTTTTCCCTGATAGCACTGGTAATATTTTAAGATAATTTGTGTGGAAATGTGCTGTGGGTTGGCATGGGAACAAGTAAATACAACAGTGAAACAGTGATGAGGCGGTTACCATTCTCCTCTGCTCCTGATGACTTCACCCCCAGCAGCATGACGCCGTCTTTGGTACTCTCGGGACGACTCTGGAAGGAAGCGCTGCGGAGAGACAAAAGATGTACAAAAAACACATGTATTTATCTGATAAAATCCTCCAAAACAAAAGCTACTGTGCTGAAATGTCAGACTCACTTCTCAGTACCAGTGTCGATTGTGTCTGTAGAATAGAAAGATAAAAAAAAAACATTTACAAATTAGGGGAAAAACAGATATTACACCATTGTCAAGACTACAAATTCTTGCTGATGATCTGTTATAAACTAAAACCTATATTTCACAAAGTGTATTCTTGTGAGATTGTTGTTACCTTATCAAAAACAGACCTGGAGTTGTGTTTTGTTTCATTCGCACATGTTTGAGTAATTCTTTATTATTAATCTGTGCACATCTCCAAAGCTCAAAATGCTCTGTTCAACCTTGTGATGTCATGAAGCAGTAGTTTTCAAGTTAACATGACATCACAAGGTGGAACAGAGTGTTTTTTGTTTGCGTGAAGAATTTTAAATATGTAGAGTTTGTGTGTTCAACATGTGTGAATGAAACAAAACACGACTCGAGGTGTGTCTGTGATGAGAAAATGACATTAGATCAGAAAATAGTGTACACAGCTGGGGTTAAACCAGGACTGGAAACAATCATTTGGACTAAACTGGAAACAAACCAAGTGCGTGTGAATGAACTGAGCTAAACTCTCCTAGTGTCACCTGTACCCGCCACAGCCCACAGGAGCTGGTTGTGTTTTTGTACCTGCGTGATCAGCGACTTTCTTGCATTTGAAGCGGAGCACCATGAGGATGACAGCAACAGCCACAAGAGTAGGCAACACGATCCACCACAGTCGGTTATCTGTCCCATCACAATAACATTCATTAATAACAGTAGTAATGCTTACCTCAGAGTGTAGTCTCTAACATGTACATAGAAGACATGATGTTAATAAACTTTCGGCTGCTGCTGTAAGCCACACACAGTTCTGAAGATGGTTTGCAGCAGCGGCCAAAACATGTCAACAAGGTAAATACACTTTACTGAACTGTCTTTAAAAAGAACCCAAGAAGATAAAGTATATAAGAAGACAAAATGAACATCTTTGGGTTAATGAACTTGTTAGCACAATACATTAAAGGGCCCATATTCTGATCCATATTATAATGTTTCCTCATCACAAATATTCCTGGAGTTGTGTTTTGTTTCATTCACACATGTTTAACACAAACCCTCCATATTTAGGCTGTTTTCTTCTCTCAAACAGAAAACACTCTGTTCCACCTTGTGATGTCATGAGGTAATAAAGGAAATGCTCCACTGTGTTTTTAAACTCCATAATCATTCGGATGATTTCAGTCCTGGAATTGTCAATCTCTACTAAACAAAAGGTAAAAAGTAGCTGTTCATTTGGAAACTACTGCTTCATGACATCACAAAGTGGAAAAGAGTGTTTTTTCTTTGGAGATGTAGACGGACTAATAATGCAGGATTACTTAAACATGTATGAATGATACAAAACACAACTCCAGGTATGTTTTTGATGAGGTAACCACATGACTTAAAGTTTAGAGAGAGAGAGAGTTTTTTAATATAATGTAGGATCTCCAAGACAACGATATAAAAGAATGAGAACTTCACACATCAATTACTTGAGACGAGTGCGTTGGAGGAGAGAGAGCAGCCCTGGAACATAGAGAAAAATCCTACATACTGTCTTACTTGCAAATTGTGAGATTTGTTAGGACAAACCGTGTAACGTTTTGACGAAGGCCTACTGTCCTAATAAATTCTAATAAATCTCACAATTTGCAAGTAAGACAGTGTGCGGGATTTTTCTCTATAATGATAGGATTCTGTTTGGAGGAACATCTGATGAAAAGACAATACTTAAATGTTTTACACCTGTATTATTACACAAGCACTATTCCCACATGCACCACGTTCATACATAGGCAGGGTAGGTGTCTTGCCCACTGACAACAACATGCTCTGTTAGTAATATCAAATTTAAGTGTAGTTAATATGATTAACCGCCTTCTCCTCTCACCAGCGAACCACAACTCACCTCGACCATGCCTCTAATTTGCCAGAAGCCTATTTGTAGCAGCCTTTCCCATCATCCCAGTTTGTCTCGGCTAACCCGACCCCACCTTCCCACCCTCTATCTTGTTCGTCTTTCAGCTATAAGACGCCTAAGTGGGGGGTCAAATGATGATTGAGACGGAGCCCCCACCCAGAGTCTCAACCCAGCCATCTCCTCCCCGCCTTGTACATTATCTATAAACTTCTTCTTCGCTCTATGTCATTGCTGGCGTGATCCTTGCCAGTGAAATTTTTTTAATGAATGATACTGACAATTTTTGACAAAGATCATTTTCCATCCCAAAGCATGGTTTTAATAAGGAAAAATGGACATAGTTGTAAGAACAAGACAGTAAAATTACCTTTATGAGAAGTGGGAGTGGGGTGAGGAGCAGGAGCTGAAAGAAAAAACATAATTTCATGTTTTGCAATAATCCAAAAGGCAGCGGGTGACTATACAGTACAAGTGCAAGTGCAAAGAACAAACAAAAATACAGTCAGTCAGGGTAGCTGGACTTGGAAAGAGGTTTCATTATAGAGAAGTATTTGAGCTGAAATAGCTGAAAAATAAAACAATGATTTTATGATTTGCAATAATTCAAAATTCAGTGGGTGACTATACATAGTAGTTTTATTCCTAATCCTTTTGAAATGACAGTATTTATTAAATGAATATGAATATTTCTCTTACTAATTTTGACACCAGCTGTTGTCATTTTTGATGTCGTCTTCTCAGATACAACTACCAAAGAAAAAAAAGATCTACTGAACAAGAAATTCATATATTTTTTTCATTTTCAGGATGCTCTTCTTCTTACCAGTTCTTGACATTATTGTGGTACTAAATGTTCTCAGAGCTGTGGTCCATGGAGGAGGTGTAGGAGTTAACTTTGCTACAGGTGAAAACATAAAACATGATTAAAAAAAGGTGGGGGGCGTAACATGGTATTTATATTTATGTTGTTGTTTTTTTGTTTCCTTCAGAAATCATCTCACTTGTTTGAACTTTGGGTGTAGATGTTGGCAGTAGAGGATTAGTCTTAGGTTGAGGGGTTGTGGGGGAACTTCCTATTGGCACTTGAAAACAATAGAAAAACATGAGCAAATTTGTAAGAAAATAAGCAACATTAAATAGGGCGTATTAATATGAGGTATTAACTGCTAGCACATAACATATTTAGATCCGCTGTACCCTGTAAGTTGTTCTGTACAGTTTTGTATGACATTGTTGTATATTTATGGAGAATTATCATGTAGGAGCATGGATGACGTAGACTTGTGGACTGAGCATGGCACAGAATCTTACAGCTAACTGCAAGGAGGGTTTGAAAAGGCCCCGCGAGAGATCACTAAATTACTCAAACATATATGAATGACATATGAAGGCAAGGAAACAATGTTATAACATGGTACAAAGCTAAAAAATGCTATTATGGATAATATTGTCCATTGTAAACTGATTTGATTCATTTTGCAGTTCAGTACAGGATTAACCAAATCTGAGTAAAGTCATGATGAGGGGACAGTTATAACATGGTTAAAAGTTCATATAATTCAATTTTACATAATATGCCCCCTTTAATTGTAAGTGCGCCGACCCCTTGTGGAGAGTAAGGTGAATTCTTCTAGTAGATTGGACAACCTCGACCGGGTTGTTTTTATAGAAAATGGTTTAAGGTTTTCCATAATATTCATAAACTCAACATATAGCATTATATTTGACATAACAAGATGATGCTGGTCAAAGTTGTTTCCATTACCACTTTAATAACAATAGTACAGATGATGATTATTATGTAGATGCTCCTCTTGTGTTTTTCATTACATTGACCTCGTTTATACTCTAAACTGACATAAGTTTTAAAGATGCAATATTCAGTTTAATTAAAGAAAGCAGCTAAATCAACACATCTTATCCAGTGTTAGTTTTCAAGACACTCACTTATTGTAGATACGTCAGCTTTAGGTTTTGAAGTCGCTGCAAAAAACAAACAAAAAAATACAGTCATTCAGAGTATTTGGACTTGGGGTGTTTGTGTTTGGATCTATGTAGAGTGTTGGTGCAACAAATGTGAGCAAGATTGTAAAAAATGATCCTTAAAGATTGTGTATTTTACTATAAACCGTTATTTTACTTATTTAATTAAAAAAGGCATTCAAAATCAGTACATCATCTCCAGCGTTAGTGTTCATTACACTCACTTTGTGGAGGTGCTCCAGACTGAGGAGCTATAGGTGCTGTAAAAACAAATCATCTTATCCAGTGTTAGTTTTCAAGACACTCACTTATTATAGATAGGTCAGCTTTAGGTTTTGAAGTCACTGCAAAAAACAAACAAAAACACAGTTAGTCAGAGTATTTAAACTTAGAGTGTTTGTTTTTGGATCTATGTTTACTGTTGCTACAACAAATGTGAGCAAGATTGTAAGAAAAATTATTATTAAAGAGAGCGTATTTGACTAGAAACCATTATTTTACTTATTTAATTAAAAAAGGCAGTCAAAATCTTATCCAGTGTTAGTGTTCAATACACTCACTTGTTGGGGGTGGTACAGTTAGCACTTTTGTAGACTCTACAAAAAAACAAAAACAAAAATACAGTCAGTCAGAGTAGTCGGACTTTGGGTGTTTGTGTTTAGATCTGTGTAGACTTTTGGTGGTTGAAAACAGTGCAACAAATGCGACTAAGATTGTAGATTGGAAACTATTATTTTACGTGTTTAATTAAAGATCAACACATCTTATCCAGTGTTCAATTCACACAATACACTCACCTGGTGCAGATTGTGCAGTTGTCGTTAGTGAAGATACTGCAAAAACAAACAAACAATGCAATCAGTAAATGCTAATGTAGTTCAACGTGTAAACATCTCACTGTTATCTACTATATGTGCACTGGATAATTTGTATAATTACAAAAGAAAGAATCAAGCATCTGTGACATTAAATTTTATCCAATTAAGGTGTTTTAATTGCTCAAAAATACCTTGAAAAACATACTATCTTACTCTGGTACTGTGGGTCGCATCTCCACAGATGCGATGACATGTAATCTGTTTTTGTCCAAGGAGATAGATAATCCCAAACTGTGGAACAATTCCGACTATGCAATAACCACTCCATGGAGACAAGCAAGTGGGGTACCTACATAATGCACCTATAATATTAAATTTGAATGTTTTTAAGGACCTTTCCCTGTTCAAAAGGTTTTAAATTGCTTAAAGATCCTGTATTACGCAAAAATGACTCTTTTGAGCTTTAAGCCATGTTAGAATGATGTTACCTCCTCATAAACATCCCTGGAGTTGTGTTTTGTTTCATTCGCACATGTCTGAATAAACCTTTTGTTACTCCTTGTACCTGTCCCCTTGTAACTTGTCTACATCTCCAAAGCTCAAAATGTTCCGTCCGACCTTGTGACGTCATGTGGTAGTTTTCAAGTTACACCTCCTTTTACGTTTAGCTCAGTAGAGATGTGCAATTCCACGGCTGAAATTATCCAAATGATTCTAGTGAAGGTGTATGGAGTTTTAAGACACAGTAGAGAACTTCCTGTATTACCACATGAAAGAACTCAGCATAAATGAGTAGTATTTGTTAGGGGTGTAACAATATCCAAGTCTCACAATACGATATCATCAACGGTATGAACCTCACGATACAATATCTATTGCGATATTGTGGTAAAGCTCACGATATGGTGGAGAGGCTCGTGATTAGAGATGTAACAATATCCAAATCTCTTGGTACAATATTTTCACGATATACATCTCATGGTACGATATTTATTGCGATATTTTGTAGACTAACAAAACTGTTAATATGCGACTTTTTCCTCTTAAAATGCCTTGACAAGACTTAATCCAAAGTACTAAGACTTAAAAGTGCTTAGAACTGTTATTTCTTCATGTAGTCTGCACTGAAATGGAGCAAAGGATCATGGTCTATGTAGTTTTTTTTGGTTTTTTTTTGGCTATTGCTGCAGCATAACTCTTAATTTAAGCAAAGAGACTTGTAATTCGATATATTGTGATGGTCCACGATATTAATGTGAGAACTTTGATGATACGATATCACGATATTTCAGTTACTGTTACATCCCTAGTATTTGTGTGTTAGACATGTGTGAATGAAGCGAAACACAACTCAAGATGTGGACTTAATATGACTGAATATACTGAGATTCTCACCAGCGAACCACAGCTCACCTCAAACACACCACTAATTCCAAAGAAGTCTATTTGTAGCAGCCTTTCCCATCATCTCAGTTTGTCTTGTCTAACTCAACCCCACCCTCCTACCCCTTATCTTGTTTGTCTTTCAGCTATGAGACATCTACGAAATGAGTCCCAAGTCTCAACCCAGTCATCACTACCTCATTCATCCAGTCATTCATCGTTCATTTATTAATAAATATCTTCGTCACACTATGTTGTTGATGATGAAACAACATTATATCATCTCTCACATACCTTACTTGTGACAGAATGATAAAGATCTATTTGGAACATTCTTCTTTGGCGCTTCTTAAAAGACAAAGGCGTGTGATAGGTTCAGTGTCGGAGGCAGAGGTGGAGGAGAAAAGATAAAGTTTGGAGCTGGTTTCCTCCAAGGCAGAGAGAAGCTGCATCCTGTTCTCTCACTATTGTTGTCTGACCAGAGCACTCATGTTTCCTGTCTTCACCGTTTTAACACGCGTTTTCACACTATTACCATCACGTTCTTAAGTTATAGTGTAGTAGAGATGCAAGAGCTAACAGTGTGAAAACATAAGGGCCACGCAGTTCTGTTTAGAAGTGCTCTGTGTAACATTTGTAACTCTGTATGGTGTTAAACTTGTCTATCTCATTTGAGAAAAGCAGGTGACACCGCTCTGTTCTTCAAGGTTTTCTTTTACCCGCTTTGACAAAACTTTACAAAGACGAGTGGATCTGGAGCTGTGTCCTGTCTCCCTGATTTGAGTTGGATGCAGTGGCAGATTTAGTAATTTGGGGGGCCTAGGCGAACTTGAATTTGGGGCCCTCACTCTGATGCGCCTTGTTGTTTTTGGATTTTTAAAATATTTATTGTCCATTTTTTCCTCATTGTTCACGAGACACACACATCTTTATTTGAATTAGGGTAGACTGGAAACTTTGTTAGGTGCTAGATAATCAGAGCTGAAAGTAGTTTTATTTTTTGTTAGTACAATTACATCTTTGTTCCATTCATCCATTACATTTGATTATGATGATGCTATGATTATGTTCAAATCAGGATCAAGCTGACGAGTCCATTCTAACATGAAATGGGGGGTGCTTTGACAGTTAAAATAGATTTGACAATCAGATTTTGAAGGTGTTTTCTTGTTTAAAAGTAAACTACTCTCATTTAATGTCATACTGAGAGAAAATCTAATTCCTCTGAGGCCTCGCACATTAACAGCACTGAGGGAAATTGGTTGGGGGCCCCTTCACGTTCGGGGGCCCTACGCGGCTGCCTACTGTTGCCTAATGTTAGCGCCGCCTCTGGTTGGACGCGACAGGCAAATTAACCAATCAGAGAGAAGCATGGCCGGTTTGTGTCAAAATAAACATGGCGACTTAAAAAAAAGCAGGAAAATAACGCAGAGGACCGAGAATCAACAGTCGAAGCAGGAAACTGTTACGTATCTCAGGTTAAGTTACGTTTTGTTCTGATGATTTGAGAATTTCAAAAGGAGATGCTGTTGTGGTTGGAGTGTCCCATGTTAGAACAGAGGTTTTTCACACACCACGGTCCAGCTTCAGACCCTTCTGTATCTGAACATAATGTAGAACAGACTGGTTGGTCAGGCAAAGTATTCATTAGTAATCAAAAAAATACATGATCGATTCTTTTTTTCAGACTAAGGGATGATGATGGACAGATGATGGACCCTTCACCAGACAAGATACAGTGCAACTTTAAAGCAGAATTTGCTTTGAATAAAAAAATCTAAAAATCTAATCATACAGCAGTGGTGAATTGTCCAGAATGTTCCCCAATTAAGATCCATCCATCAGAGAATAGTAAACTGCTATAAATGAAATTATGTTAAATTGGAAAAACAATAGCAGTAGTAGGAATATATTTTGGACATTAAGAGTTAGGGGGCGCTCTAATTCTTAATCCTAGATCTCTTGTCCAATCCACTATCTGATGTCCCAGTTTAAAGTTTCACTCAACAGGAAAACAAACAAAATCCACCCTTGTTTCTTTCTGTGCAGCCAAAAAACACTGACATTTTGGGAATGTGATTTTAAAATAGAATTGGATTATTCTGGTAAGTTTGCATTGTGTTTTGTTGTACCTATTTGAATGGTGCTATTTTTGAAGAAACAATTACAAGTACAAGTACACGCCCTCACACATACATGCAATATACTATTTACTTATTTCTTAGGGGCAGTGGGCACAGACAAAAACTCTAATCATGAGGAAATGCTCTGTTTTATCTGTTTATATGTTACAGTTTCTTAAATTACAATTGAAAACAGAAAAGTGACTCTGCAAGTGTGAGGGAGGGTGTTTTTCAATCAGTGTGGGTTGCTCACACTGAGGACAAATAGCTTATTAATGGGCTTAATTGACTAAAAATAATTTAGTGTTAAAATCTGAATGAATTGCCCAGTACATGATAATAAAAAGTCTCATATTCCTGTATATAAACCACTTTGATAATCATATCTAAGATGTTTTTCCCATCAGTTACTAGACACAGGACGTCTTATCTCAGGATGAACGGAAGTGCACTGATGATTGTACTGCCCTGAGGTTAGACTCAAAGTGTTGAAGTGTTTTGAACTACTCTCTAATCTCTATCTTTGCAAAAACCAAAACCAAACATTATTCTAGTTTACGTTACAAGCCTCAGAAGATCTTCAAAAGCCTGGAAGGAATGAATTACACTGACAGCTTCTCATTTACATCTTACCATATCTAAACCTACGCTAAACATGTTCATTAAGTTTGAATGGTGGTCTTACCTGGTTTGAGCACATGGACAGATGCTAGCAAAAGCAGGACAGCCCCCCGTACAGTCGTGGTGGTGATCATTGTGAAGTTGTGATCCTAAAAATCTTCTTTCTCCGACTTCAACCCGAACAAGTGACCAGTGCGAAAAGTGTCCAGACTTGGGCACTGCTGCTGCAATGGCCGTGGCTTATTTTGGCACTTCCTTCAGATAAAGAGGGGAGGAAATACTCTGGCTTCCCCCCTGACGTAAAGAGGGAGGGAGACCAGTGCAAGGCGCTGGAAATCTCAGGAATCTTAAGCACAGGCATCCAGATTTATTGTGCATTTTTATTCCTATTTCGGAAGGTATGACGAACTTTAAGCACTTGGGGTGGAGTAGTAGTTTGATTTTTTTTGTCATAACTAATGTGGTTGTCTCTAAAATATTCCTACATAGAGTACATCAGAAATGCCCTCATACGTGATAATGACGTGATTTTCTTAGGTCGCAACAGCAAAAACACAGCACGAAGGGAAAACTTGGTAAGAACTTTTAATAATTATGATCAAATATATTTCAGTAATTCATACTGACCAGAATGTCAAAAAGAGTAATTATCAGTGGTCCCAGCATTGAACCCTGTGGGACACCTATTCTATTGTAACAAATTGATAATAGTTCACTTCCACTTAATCTTTCTATTATCTTCATCTTCTCTTTTGTTTCCAGCAAATGGTGTACTGTACTTTTTTCCTCAAATTCATAGCTTTTGTTCTATAGTATTTAACAGAGGTGGGACCAAGTCGTTGGTTTGCGAGTCTCAAGTAAGTCTCAAGTCTTTGACCTCAAGTCCGAGTCAAGTCCCAAATCAAAGACAGGAAAGTCCAAGTCAAGTCCAAGTCGTCTGCTTTGAGCTTCAAGTCATTTCAAAACCAAAGTACCAAATATAGCTTAGACTTTTGCAATTTATTTGACTTTTAAACAAAATTGTACTTAAAAAATCATGGTATATTTATATTTATAGTATATATATATAGTTGTAGAAATGCAAGCTTTTTCCATTTTAAATGTCGTGATAAGATCTAGGTGTGAATCATTACGGTCAGAGCAGAAAGAATTCAGATTTAAAAGTGCTAAATAACAGTTATTTTGTCATGTAGTCTGCACTGAAATGGAAGGATCATGTTCTATGTAGTTCCCTCTGTTGTTTTGTACTGTATATTACTGTAGTACATTTGAGGATACATCACAGTACTTCAGTTACATCCAAAGTACCAAACAGAGCAGTGGAAGGGACATGTTCCTGTTTATTCCTGTAAAATTCAGCAACACATTTATCAACTGTACAGAGAAAAGTATTTTCTAAAAACATATCTTTTTTAAGAAGCATCAAGTCTTCTCAAGTCACTGACCTTCAAGTCCAAGTCCAGTCTCAAGTCTTTGTCTACTTTATCAAGTCAAGTCTCAAGTCCTAAAAATAGTGACTCAAGTCCGACTCAAGTCTCACCTCTGGTATTTAATATACAGTGGTCCCAAAACAGAACCTTGTGGCACACCTAAATCAGTACCTGTCAGTTCTTGTGTGGCATCAAAAGTCAGAGCACACAAAGTTCGGCAGGGCATCTGGTGATCTCAAGTCAAATCTGAACACTACATGGCCTTGTGGTTTGCTATGGCGACCCCTAGTGGAAAAAGCAAACAGGAAAAACATTACTCTTACTCTGAATGAGCACTTTGGTTTATCACTACACATTCTTTCTGATACATACAGCATACCACACCTAGCCTGAGTGTAGCCTCCCTATATGATGTCAAACCTAAATAAACCATCTCCAGGAAGTAACATCGTATGCATGAAAACAGGAAATATGTGAGTTGAATGTCCACACAATACATTTCTGATTTGTTCCTGTCACATGCACAGATAAGAAAACAAAAATGAATCTGATTGTTTTGTAACCGGCCGCTGCTTTGCTGGAGAACACTGGCACGAATCCAAGAGGAGGAAAAATACCCACCAAGGAATGTCACTATTTTCCCACAAAAGAGGATAATAACCTTACGCAACTGACCCCATATTATTAAGACTAGAGATCAGATGTATTTAAGGTGTACTGTCCATCATTTCATTGTCTAGTCTCTGCCAAATTTACCTTATTTTTCCTGGAGCTGCCACCGGCCAAAGCCCTCCAAAAACAGGATGCCATCATGTACTTCCTTTCACTGGGACTTGTGCGAGAACGGAGTGTTGCAAAGAGAGCAATTTGAGAAAACGACACTAATTGAAATACCAAGAAGATTTAGTGATCCGTTTTCAGTACTGTAAAGTGATACTAATTTGAAATACAAGTAAAAGTTCATGTAAAAGTGAGGTACCAATAAATATAATTGTGATAGTTGTAGTAAGGGTTGTAAATCTACTCTTCCTTTCAGCTGAGAACTTCAAATAGGCTGTACTAGTTAATTATGTTTGCTGAGACACTTCTGTATTTTATATAACCAACTTTTGTTTTCCAAAGCGGAAAATCATAGATCTTAAAGTCATATTTGTGTTCACATATTCCAATCAAAACTTGGCTAAGTTGTGGTCCTTTAATCAAAGTAGTTTCTCAGGTCACTGGGAAGGAAACACCTTCACTTGCTAACTTGCCAGAGACTCATTTCCTAAAAACACTTTGTAATAACCTCAAAATGTCTCCAAAGTGTGTACTAGTTATTTTACTAAAGTACTAAACACCCAGTATATTATGCAGGTACAAATTTGAAACCTTTTTTTATTAGTCAATACAACTTCCTAACAGGTTAGTAAACCTTTCTGAATCCAATTTTCACCACATCACTTCATATTTAAGTAAACTCTTGGCCATGACTCCCCTGAAAGAGTTTTTTAATCTCAATCTAAATCTTTCCTGGTTAAATAAAGATTAAAAAAAGGAAGAAAAACAACAACTAGTGTGTACTGTTCTCTGTATAGTAGCAGTAATCCCCATGTACAACAGTACTTCATATTCAAGGAAACTACTGTGTACTGGTTCCTGTATGGTAGTAGTAATCCCTGTGTACCAAGAAAGTCCCTGAGGTATTTGTAGAGTTATATGCAGAAGATTTTATTGGACACGTTGCATATTCATGATGTAGTCTGTGGCACACATACACATAACAGGAGAGGTGCATCTCAAGTTCATGCACATTTTTATTGAACAGTTATATAAAATACTTTTCATAGTTGCAAGTGCATGCCTCATCTGCCAACAGTTTCCGAAGTTAAATTACAAAAAGCAAGGCTTCATGTTGTGTAGTGAATTACTTGGGCACTTAAGCAGTTCTTAAAAAAGATCTAAGTATTTTTTTTTCCTTGTTTAAAGTACGGAGCAGTATCAAACCTGTAACTGATATACAAAGCAGATTTCTAAATAATAAAGGACAATTCTGTGGCACAATTTTACAAAACAGAACATAAAATCAGTTGTATTTTTAAAACCTGGTATATGGACACAGCTAACAGCTAATCATGCATTTTGAGTTCCACATGTAATCACACAACCTCACAAGAATTGTCAAACATGCGTATTTGGACTGTGCACTGACAAGCGCCTGTTAAAAATACAATTTCCTCATCCATCTTTAGATAATTAAATGCTTCAATTACAAAAAGAAGGCATAGAGCGTCATGGTGGTGGTTGTTTAAAGTACGCAGGATACAGTTCCAGTATAGGTTCACTAAAGCGCAGTTCAAAACAGGCCTCCACAGCCAAACGTTTTCAGATGTTCTATTTCTGTCCTTTGATTTTTATAAAACATGCATAGGCAGACACTTTATTATTATTGTATTATTTTTTTTTACACAATATAGGTTCTCTATTTTTACTTTGTTCGCAATACTTAAAAAGAGAGAAATTAACACTCAGTTCCAGCAAGCCACAATAAATCTACCCCCCTCCCTTTCGAAAAGAGACAAAAATAAACATATTTGCAAATGATAGATAGGTAAATGTAAATTCCAGTTAAGAAACTCAAGAAAATAGGTATTCATTACCGAGTTATTTAGCCATTATACAGAAAAATCAGGTCAAAGCACACACCAAAAGAACCTGAGGTAAGCAAGAATATGTACAAAACCATAAAACGATCCATCGTTTGGCATTTCGACAACATTGCAACATTCTTTTTAAGACTGCCTAATTCATTTCAGAGCTATTTTATAAGAGTAGCAAAAAAAGTTATCAATAAATAGTCCTTATTTAGTTTGTACACCCTTATGTTAAAAACATGATCTCATGTGTCCTCTTAGTGCTGTATTTTGTAAACGTACAATAGTTAGTAAGAACAACTTTCCTTCTGTTGTAAATGGGTCTTTCAATGAGCGCTAACACGGTACTCTCTCTGTCTCTGTCTGACATACTGTGAGTGGGTCTGCCCTAAGGCCTGACCACATCCAATCAACCGGCGATAACTTATAGACGGACTAAACTAAGATCGAAGGCATATCCAGGGCAGCGGGGGCGCCCCCTGGAGGCGGGGCAGCTCACTGGATGCTGCTGCCGCTCGTGCTGCCTTTGGGCTCGGTGCCGTTGGTCTCTGAGGACAGGGCCTTGTTGAGGGAGTTGAGGCTGGCGTCTGACGGCAGGGCATCTCGGCGTGGGGGCATCCGCTCATTGATCCGGTCCAAACCTTTGGCCTCCTCGAAGCTGGAGATCTTGTGTTGTGGAGAGAAGCCCTTGATGGCTGTTGACACGTGAGAGAGAGAGAAGAGACGCATGTTCAAATGATCAGTCTAACTCTGGCTTGTGATTAACAGTGAGGGAAGTAGCAGTTCATTAAGGTCTGAATAGACTCATTTATCATCATAGCTGGATAAACAAGATTCCCCACATTCTTACCTTCTTACCTTGTTTTTTTAATGATTAATTAATTTACTGTATTCACAAATGTGATTAAACAGTTTGTGCTAAATACCTGCTACAAAGCACAGTTACTGCACTCCTTGTACTTCTTATACAAAACTTGAACAATAATCAATTGAATCCAAACTCAGTTGTTTAGACAAAGCATTATGAGAACGTATCATCAAAATCACACTGTAAAACATGAATCTACTTATATTAACACCGTTACTACTACCACTACTACTACTACGACGACACACATAAAGACTACTATGTCTAATGGAGCGACTACACAGGGGTCGACTCCCCTCTACTGTCTACCATGGGCCCAGGCCTCGGGGTGTGCAGGTTTGCAGAGTACCATGTGGAAGACACCATTTTGAGCATCTTTCGTTTTGATTATAAAATATTTTGAAGTGAAAGACATGAGGCAAAACCCCTGCAGACCCCATAGGTTCATGGGCAGAGTACATCACAGATTACTGAACCAAAAGAGGAAGAGGAGGATGAAGAATCAGAGACACTAAAGACAGAGGGGACACCAGAGAAGCCCACCAAGACATTCACTTCCACAGAGGACTGGACTGAGCCCACGGACACACACTACACCGGTGCTAAAACTGTGATGTCTGCTGGAGCATGCAGCAAAGAGCAGGGGCTGATGGGTAATCTGAGCCAGTCTCATGTGCGGGACTGGACTGTGTACTGGTCCATACATGTACAGTGCAGAGTGATTTGTATGGAGTTAGAGTTAGATTTGAGGGTGAATTGGGAGGGTTGCTGCATTGCGCGGTCAGACACAGGTTATTAGCAGCTCACAGGAACACGACACAGCAGGTCCACATGGAGAAGCAGCGTCCTCTATGGGGCTGGAGAGGAAGTACTGGACACTTCATGTAAATAGCAGCTGCCACACCACTATTTAGCTCGCAGTTGAGCTTGTTCTTGCGCTACCAGCAATGGACACCAAATCTTTTTAAGAAACTGTAATGAATTTGTTTCGCTACCAATTAAAAAGGGTTACAATAAAGATTAAAATACTGCAACAACAATGCACAACTGCTTCAGTCATTTCAAAGGGGAAATATGAGTGTTGGTTTCATAGCAAGAGCTGTGCTGAGTGAGAGCCGAGCAAGAGGCACATGTACTGTGTATCATAGAAACAGAAGAACAGGGTTTTCTGAATCATGTAAACTATGTAAAGTATGCAGTATGGAGCCATCAGAAGTATATTACTCATGTACAAAGTTGGGATTTCTATTAATGCACCAATAAATTACAAAAAACTAAATTGAAAGTAAGTATACTAAAGGGCCCATATTATGTTATTTTCTGATCTATGTCATAATATTGTTTCCTGATCACAAACATATCTGGAGTTGTGTTTTGTTTAATTCACACATTTTTAACCCACAAAACTCAGCATATTTATGCTGAGCTCTTCCCTCAAACCGAAAACCCTCTGTTCCACCTTGTGATGTTATGGTAATACAGGAAGTGCCCCACTGTGTTTTTAAACTCCATACACTTTCACTAGAATGATTTGGATGATTTCAGGTTTGGAATTGCTAATCTCTACTGAACAAAATCTTAAAGGTAGCTGTAAACTTGAACACTACCGCTTCATGACATCACAAGGTTGAAGAGAGTATTCTGAGCTATATTATTATACCTTTAACCATATAGCATTTTGGGCTTGATTATTATAGCCTAATAATAATAATAATAATGATGATCATGAGCTGAGGTTGGCTGCGGCTGCTGGGCCTGTCCTGTGGGCTCCTGGTGGAGGAATGGTGCTGGGGCTTCATCTCTCCTCTGGGCCCTGTGGCGGTTCCTGGTGGTGGTAGACGGCTCTCTGCTCCTGGTGTAAATGGCTCCTTTGATGATGCTTTCTCAACTGGTTTGCCTGTACTCAGCCTCACATTGTACTATGTGTAGTTTTATGTATTTTAGCATGTTAGTGTGTGTGTGAGTGTGTGTGTGTGTCTTGGTTGGTTGTGTGGGGTAGGGCAGGTGTGAGGGTTGGTTGGTGGGTGGAAGGAATTGTGGTCTTATTTTTAATCACTGTAAAGCACTTTGTGTTACATTTTTGTATGAAAAGTGCTTTATAAATAAAGTTTGATTGATTGATTGATTGATTGAATAAAGGATAAAACACAACTCCAGGTATGTTTTTGGCGAGGTAACGACATTCTAACATGGATAAAAACTGACAAGAGTAAATTTAGCGTAATACAGGACCTTGAGACATTGTGTTGTATGATCCATATTATTAGATATAACACTTTATCATAATTACGCCTTAAATAGCCACAATAAAGCACAAAGAAAAACTTTATAGAGAAGAATTCATAATGAACAAATAGTTTCTTAAGAATGATTCAGACTTAGTAACTATATTTAGTACCCTAACCCTGACTCCTTTAAATTAGTTTAAATCATTCTATTACTGAATCTATTAGTTCATTTATGACTTAAGTCTTTGTTTATGCTTTATTAAGACTGTAATAAAAAAATGTAGTTATTATAAAGTGGTACCAAGAATTTCTATAATTTCTATAAAAAAAGAAAAACATAACTTGCATTTTGACATTGAGTTGAATATACATCATTGTAAATTACAATGTAATTACACTTAGACTCAACAGTTGAAGCAGTGCCCTGTGCGTGCCCTCACTCAAACACAACGTGACCGCTGCGTCAAATGTGCGCTATGAAATCCTTCCCCTTTAAAACTGATGTGAGCAAAGGTTCCCCCTGGACGTACTTACTGATACTCTGTTCAAAACTAAAGCCACGGTTTCAGTCGCCCCAAACACACTCTACTCAAGCACCAGCGAGATGGATGGAAAGAACCCAGTGGAGCGCCCCCTGTCTATTGCTATGGGAAGCAACAGAAGAGGGTGGCCAGACCCATTTACCTTTTTCAGCCTCAATAGCTTCAATAGTAGCTGAAGGAGAAGAAGAGGGGGATTGCAAAACGAATGAGAGAGAGTGAGCACGTGTTTCATTTTGTCCCAATGAGCAGCAAAAGACAGCCAATGCCCACAACAACAAGTCAACAGGTTATGTCCACACGGTTATGACGAGGTGGGTTAGTGGACGAGGAGACAAGGAGACAGGGAAACGAGGAGACAAGGAGCGAGGAAGTGATGAGATCTATGTTGGAAATGTGTTTGACTGCAGCTGTGGATGTGGAAGAAGAGTCAATATGGAGGACAGAGAAACAGGGAGACGGAGCTACACAAGAAGACAGGAAGTACAGCCACAGAATGGATGAATAAATCAGTTTTATCATGGAGGAAATATTTGGGGAAATGAATGAAGTGAATACGTCACTGAATATTTTTGTGTCCAAAATGTTTAGATTTGGATGGGAAGGAGATTGGGGGAAGAGGTGGGATGAAGTGAAGCATATTTACAGTTAGCATAAAAATACTGGTACAAAACTGACTCCTGGATATGAAGTGATTGTAAGAAGTAGCTCTGAAAAGGTCTAGAGACTTCAAGAGTTTACATAACATGAAAGAGTTACAATGGGGTTGAGAGAGAAATATGTAAAAAATAAAATAAAATGGAGGGAAACCTTTAGATCTAAATATGACCTCAGTTGAGAATCACACATCGGGATATTTGCTTTTTTTGTCCACAAATTTATAAATGAAAGGTTGGAGATTCCAATTCTTCCTTGCAATGTCTCGTCAAATATCAGTTTGCAAGTGTGAAATTCAACATGGGAGAGTAAACTAAAGTCTTCATCGGAAAACAAAAACACAACATCGAAATACTTGCACAACTGGATTATACCTGCAGTTTCTGGGAGAGAGGAGAAAGAAAAACATACAACATTTGAGATAAACACGACAGGAATGGCAAATCGGAGTGAAGCATGTTAGAAGGGACCAGCGCGTGAAGAATTATGCTTATTTTGGGGAATATCTGAAGGTAATGTATACAATAAAATAACCTAAACATTAAGTAACACCAAACTCTGATAAGGCATTATTCTAATACGAGGTTTGCTGCCTAATAATTGACAAGTGTCTGCTTTTACGATCTGACTATAGTCGAGGATCCACGTTGTTATGGTGACGGTCTTACCATTTTCTAACTTCTCCTTTCCTCCAGACAGGACTCCGCTTGGTAACATGCCCGTGGGGGTCAGGCCCTTCAGAGTCAGCACGCTCTCACTCTCCTCTCTGCAAAAACACACAAACTATCAACTATCAAGATCATAAATATGCACTTTATATTATACAATAGGGATTCATTTTATTCCTGGACATCCAATGCAACAAAAAACAACAAAATCCAACACAAATCTTTATCAAAATCACTACATTTGAAGCTTTCTTACATCTCAAAATCTGTGCTAAATACTTTTATTTTAAGTGCATTTTTAATACTTTTTCTTAAACATATTGTTCATGTGACACTTTTACTTGAGTATTTTTTTGCTCCAGTATCTACATTTTACTTAACAAAACTGAGTACTTCTTCCATCACTGGTCTCAAGTGATACAATTTTAGATTCATCTTGATCTATTATATTTTTTGTGATCTAAACAATCAATCAATTAACAGAAGTCAAACAAATCAGCAACATAAATACATATTAACTCAAGACTTATCTTATTGTTTAGTACAATGGAATGAAGAGGAAAACATCTTTATTTATACAAATAAAAATATATATATCTTGTACAAAAGCAATTAAAACTCCATTAAAAGCATTGTTCAGACAGCTTCTTTGTAACCTTGTTGTTGTAACCTTGTCTTGGAACAGTTTTAATCTGCTGTTAATTAAGTGTGTATTACTTTATTTTTTTATTGTGAAATATAAAGTGTGTTATCAGAAAGTTATTCATTATAATTCTATGAACTACTTTTTAGACCTTAAAAATATTTAGTTTAAAAATGACAAGTTTGTTTATTTGATATAATGTTACAGCTCATTGTGAATGGCAAATTTTCAGCACAAATTATTTGAAATTACATTCAAGGAAACTTAAATAAACTGTATTCTGGTAACATTTAAGCATAAATAAATGATATGATGATTGCGATTCATTAAGTAAATAGTTAGCACTTACTGAAGTAGTAGAACATGCAGTTCTAGGGAAACTCTAGAAAACATGCCCCACACTGGTTTTGGTCAGGACATCCTTTGTGTGCATACCTGAGCACAGAGAATACCCTGGCCATCTTCCCAATGGCGCGGATCTTGTTGCGGATGACCTCCTTTCGGGCTGAAGCCGTGGCACCTGGAGGGGTCAAAGTTCAAGGTTCAGCAATGTTAAACAAACTGAGACTCAAACATAGCCTGTTGTGTGGGGAAGTGTTGGTCTTAAATCTATGAAGAGTTTCATCAACAAATATCAACTTCACCCAAGACACATTATAATATATTTTGGTCATTGTAGCTTTGCCGGAAACAGTGTGGCTTTTAAATGATCAATCTGACAGACAAACAGGTTATGCCAAGTCAGGTCAGTGGAGAGATGACCCTGCTCATAGAATACATGTAATCCATCAGATATTTGCTAAAATGTGCCTTTAATGTCTTGGCCGAGATTCCACATTTGACACAAAAACCCAGAAGAGCAGAAACCCAGAGTAGGACCCTTTGAGTCTTTTTCACATAATTACACTGCTGTCACCTTTATTTTTCATGACCAGTTTCATATTATAAACATTACATTATATTCTAACTGTTTATAGCTTCAAAACTATGATTTCAGTATATATATCATATGTAGACAATATATGGACCAGCTGTTTCTCAAATACCGTTTCACACGTCACTGCAATACATCAGAGCATTCCTTGCACTCATGCTATCTGTTATAACATGGGCATGTTAACCTTTTGCAATGTATCTCTTATCATGGCCCATACATGTGCACACTCTATCTCACTCTTCCTGTGTTGAGATCTGCTCGGGGTTTTCCCTCACAGTGGAAAGCTGATGTGCTGTTTAATTTTTTATTTTTTTTAAACGACAGAGTAAAGACCCCCAGAGATGTTACATGGACAATGAGTGGAGTATGAAGGAGGAGATGAGGTCGAGGTAATGGAAAGACAGAAGTTAGATAGGCAGTTCTAAGCTGGAACAGTAAAACAGTATATTTTAAAGGTGCATTGTGTAACTTTCCTGGTAGAGGGTCCGTCAAATGCTTTTCTCCATGGAGATGCTAATGGTTTGTCTGGAATGTTTCACAGTATGGTGTTAAACCTCTCTATCTTCAAGAAGATGAAAACAAGAGACCAAGTTACAGGTCAGATCTGTGGAGAGGCAACCCCACTTGTTGTTTGCAATAGGGGTGGGCGATATCTCGATATTTAAAATATATTTAGATATTTTTTAAACTCGATATGGATTCTGACATATCGTATATATCCATATAATGCTTATATTCAAATCTGATTTAGCCACTTCACTTGTTTGCCTTCTTTGTGCTCGCCCATGTGCACCCCCACCTCCTTGCCATGAACAGCAGACAGATGTCTACTGCCGAGAAGGACGAAAGTTGCTGCCAACAAAAACTTCTAGCACTACGAACCTTTTCCACCATTTACAGACTCAGCATCAGCAGCACATCCTCTGTCACACAGAGAACACACATATTCCACTGAGTCATGTCCTTTAGTCTAGTGCCTACAGTTCATGCAAATGGTCCATGCGGTTTTAAGTTTTGTTTCTGTAGAACGTAAACAAATGCTGCAAACCTGCATTAAACACATTATAATCTCAAACTGGCTGATGTGATTCTATATGTTGTAGTAATATAATGTTTATTTATGCCGAAGATTTTAATTAATAATCTGCTGCAGTGTAGAACTTAAACTTGTACAATAGTATTAGGAAACTCTGGGTTTGAGCTGCAGTGGATTGTGGGATACCTCAGAGGTCCTTACACTGGTTGGGAACATGGATCTATTAAAATAAGGAACCTTCCAAGCTTCCTATGGGAGCTCATGGTTATCGTACACTTAACAGAGTTAATGCAAACATGAACTTGAGTTGAGCTGTTTTATTTTTTAAAAGAAATAAGACAATATGTATTATTTCTTCCTTTATTTTACAGTTAAATTTGTGGAATTTGGCATATTTGTTTTTGCAGTTTCCAGTTTTAGGGGGTTATTTTTCCTGTACACATTTCGAGATATATATTGTATATTGAGATATAGAAAAATATATTTTTTGCTCCATATCACCCAGCCCTAGTTTGTAATTTCTTTGTATGTTTCTTTGTTTGTAATTTAAATGGCCAAATATTGTACATTTTGTCATTTGTGTTTCATCACTGTGTTTTCAAGGAAAATAATGCGGTTTAATGCAAATGTCGTGCAATTTTTTTACGTAATTTCTTACATTTAAATTTTTCTATTAATACTTGTGACAATTTTGCTTTTCACAACTGTAAAAGAGTGTATACAAATATTAAGTCAACAGACAAGTATAAAAGAAAGAGTGTATAAGCCCGGTTCAATATATGGTGATTATTTTGTTTATTTTATCCAACTGTTCTTTCCCAGCTGGATATGAGAAAACACTACACTACACTGCAAACTACATTTTAATTAACATTACTAATCCTAAAACAAGTATTGAGAGCACTGTAATAATAATATGTCTTTTGTCTGTTCAAATACTTTGATGCATTATTAAATTAATCCAAACTCATTTCTCATGCTCAGACCACCTACAATTTTCACTCCTCCACAAAAACGTATTGAAATATTAAGAGAAGATCAACAGTGAAAGCCAATACAGATGTTAGCTTTAAACAGTCGTATTAGTTTGAAAGAGAAGCAAAGGAGCAGGCATTTTCACATTGTCTAGTCTATCCTAGAGCATGCCGCTAATCCACTACAGTTTGTACCTTTTTTAGGGGCATATATTAGCTGTCCTTCTCATGAAAACACCCCCAGAAGAAGAAGAAGAGAGGAAGAAGAAGAGAGAGGATAGAGAGATCAGTGATGGCTGCAGAATGACAAGAAGAGGCAACAAAGAAGCACCGCACGAGTGAAAAGGAAAATTAAAAACAGAAACAATGGCTTGAACTTAAAAGTCTGTAAAACATAGAAAAAAAGAGAAGTTAGATGAAGCAGAACCAAAGTAGTGATCGTATGGACAGGTACAGTGAGAAGGCGTGAGCGAAGGAACAAAACAGAGTGAATGTCATCTTAAAAATGAAAAGGAAAAATAATAAGCAAAGAAATACAGTGGTGGAAAGTAGCTGAAATATGTGACCTTGTATTAAAGTCCAGGATTTTGCGTCTAGCATCATGTCAGCAGTATAATAGCAGCAGTAGAGTAGTAGTTGAGGAAAGAAAGTACTAGTATTAGTGGACATTTTATTTACCTTAATTTATTATTTTATTTTTATTTACCATTTTATTTTACCTTGTTAAGCCTACTTACAGTTGTACCATCAAAAAATAGAAATTTTGTAAAATTTGTTGCATTTTTCCAGACAATAATATTGGTCAATAAAATCTGTATTTTATTTTGGCATAAATGGCACGGAAGACACCATTCAATTGGTATTATACATGTATAGTTTTAATAACAATTACTACTCTGCAACTTATCAAATGTAAAATTGTGATTCCAAGTATCACTAAATTCAAGAACAAAAACTACCTTAAAGTGAATTGTATGTTCAAATATGTATGCTACACAAAAAAGTAAAACCACTTTTCTAATCTACAGCAGAGTCCTGCACTGGGTCGGGTAGATGCGGGTTCTATAATTTTACATGCGGGTAGTAATTACACACGGGCGGGTCAGGACTAAATCAAGACTAAACCAGGACTACACCAGGACTAATCTTGGACTTAAGAGAGAGAATCCCGAGCCCGTGGAGCAGGTTGTCTGCAAAGCGCGATCAGGCAACGGCTGCGCTTACCTCCGTAAGTGGAGCTCTGCGCCGGTCCTTTCACCCTCGGTCACCCGACAATCTATACTGGCACACTTCCAAGAGTCCAAGCTCATCCCAACAGTGAGTCCTGGTTCAGTTTTGGTTCAGTTCTGGTTTAATCCTAGTTCAGTCCTCCTGGTTTAGTCCTGGAGTCAGTCCAAGGTTAGTCCTGCGTCAGTCCTTGTTCAGTCCTGGTTCAATCTGTGGCATGTGTGACGCAAAGTTCGGCATCTTGTTCAGTGTTTCTTCTGCTCAATAAATAATCCCTGTGAAGTGATAACAGTCAAGTCGCGTCTGTGAATTCGTATTCGTACTGAAGTTTGATTTAATTTTGTGATTGTAATAGTTGAAGTTGTACATTTTCAGTTTGTATTCTGATAGATGCTTCAGTTAGAATGCTTTTATTTATGTGTGATTTATCACAGGTCTGGGCAGATGCGGGTTTAACTTTGATAAAATGTCAGGTTATCGAGCAGGTGCGGTGCTGTACTGTGCGGGTCTCCAAAAATGGACCCATGCAGGACTCTGATTTATAGTAGCTTTTAAAATGTGACTGTATACATTACATCAGTAGTATAAAAGTATTGCATGTATTCATGCTTACGTCACAAACCAGGAAGACGTTTGGAGTTTCCAGAGTACTTACAGACACTGGGCTCGCCGACCGACTGTGATAAAACCCACGCCCTCATCTCTTCTAATCGCATGTACACAATGTGCTTGGAGTTGTGTGTCAGTGCGGAAATGATAAAAACTGAGGTGTGGTTGGAATTGTTGATTAGCCGAACATAACGGAACACAACAAATGATATGTAGATGAAGAAACTGGGATATTTTCTTATTTTCCCTTGATTTTGTCAGACTTACTACCGTGAACAGAGCCTGCCGGGAGTTGCCATCACATGTTTCCAAACGTCTTTGGGGTTTGTGACGTAAGCGCGAACAGAGCCTATAGGTGAAATATTAATAGTAGTACTAGACATAAGCTGCAACTTGTAATAAAAGTTGTAGCAGTAGTAGTAGCAGTAGTAATGAACAGATCAGAAACTGTAGCAGAAATGTAGATCATACAGAGAAGCAAATAGCTGAAAGTACAATCAGAGGTAGTGATAGTACTAGTATGATATGTGGTTTTATTTGTTTAATTATTTAAACACTATAGTTACACATATTCAACAATATTTCCTCATAGGTCTTTAAAATCCACCACTGTGAAGTAGCTGCAACCTGAAAAGGTCATGAGCTCAGTTGGAGAGAGAGAGAGGAGCGTGATTATGAACTAATGTGACCGCTGCTGTTGATTTTCCGGGGATTGTCATCTTTTAGTGTTTGTTTAAAGAGACTCCGCCCCCTCTGCGCTGTTTACAGAGCGTGCCGTGTGCATAGTTTACACAAAGAAGAGGAGAAGATGAGGTCACTTCCTGTTTAGCAGCTAAGGGTGAGGTTGTCAGAGGAAGCTGCATTAGACAGGACCGTTAACTGGGAGTATTATGTAGTAAAATATGTGTCTCAAATTGATGAAAAATATTAAGTTTGCGTTAATTAAGCAAATTTTCAGTCAGAACATAGAAAAGATAAAGAGTGTAGGAGAGAAAGTGAAGTTTTGCGTTTGGTAAACGGCGACCTCTGCTGGATGAGAAAGGTACTACTTCTAAAAGTGGAAGTCTTACCGTCCAGCTCCTCGTCAGTCGTGAGTTCATCGTTGGAACAGATGCTCAAAACGTTCACAAGCATTTCGGTCACTAGGCAGCACAAAACAAAAGATAAGAATGAATCTATGACTATGACAAATCCAGAATGTACTTTTAACATGGAGCTAAAATTCCACAATTATTTATTTGTTAGAAGTAAATCCCTTGAATGAAGCTATAAATTATGATCAAAAGACATTCAAAACATTACTGAAATATTTACAATAACACTATAATTATTAGCAACAGGCAAATTATCTAATCACTAGGGATGTAACAATAACCAAAATATCGTGATATCATATCGTCAAAGTTCTCACAATAATATTGTTGATCATCACAATATATCGAATTACAAGTCTTAAAAGAGTTATGATGCAGCAATAGCTAAAAAAAAAAAGACAGAGGGAACTACATAGACCATGATCCTTTGCTCCATTTCAGTGCAGACTACATCAAGAAATAACAGTTCTAACACTTTTAAGTCTTAGTTCTTTGGATTAAGTCTTGTCAAGGCATTTTAAGAGGAAAAAAGTAGCATATTCACAGTTTTGTGTCCACAAAATATCGCAATAAATATTCTACTGTGAAATGTATATCGTGAAAACCGAGAAATTTGAATATTGTTACATCTCTAATCATGAGCCTCCCCACAATATTGTGCGCTTTCCCATGATATCGCAATAAATATCGTACCGTGAGGTTCATACCATGACGATATCATATCGTGAGACTTGGATATCGTTACACCCCTACTAATCACATTACTTTGTAATTTTGCAGAATTGTCTATTGTGCCTAAAGCACTTTGTTACCTTAATCACACACAAACAAAATTGCTATCCATGGATTTCACAATGATGAGAAGTTTAGACTGTTGCCATAGGAATGATCAAATACGGCATCTTTGAATGATGAAAAGCCTTCAAAATGTCACCCATAACAGGAATGGATTTCATGCTCAATATGGTAAGTTCAAAATGTTATATAATACTGATCGTTTTCACTCATTAGTGACTGCATAATAAATAGTTTGTGAAGTTTCGAAGAAAATCACTACTTTCTTAGATACCGGACAGTCTACTTCATGCAATCAATTCCAACAGTTCATTTATTCACCTTTTGGTCAAATGAATTATTTATCTCATCACAGTATATCAGGCTAAAAGTTTAAGTGCTTTGCTAAGGCTACATGACTTTAGGCAGTAGCATTTCCATTATTGACTAGTGTAGGTGAGAGCTCATTAGTATTCCACAGTGAAATCGTTGGCGTATGAAGTTTACCCTTTTCTCCGACAAAAGGCAGGGACCAGGTGAAGACGTCCATGAAGTTGGGGAGCCAGTACGGATGAGGCGAGCAGTTGAACTGTCGGATGTTCATGACGTTATTCTCGTACTTGAGCACCGCCG